TGTAAACGATATTCCTCAGCGTTTGTCAATATTTCATGAAAAATTCTAAACAAAACTGTAGTGAGAGAAAAATTTTAAGTGCACTTGGTGCAGGTAAAATTTATTTGTCCATCTTCTCCACAACAATTGTAAGATTATGTCAAAATATTTTGAAATAAATCTCACTTATACCCAGAGAGCGGCAAACCCCCAACGCATGTAAACCGCCCGTCGAAGCGATTAACCTTCAGATGACTATAATAACTGTGCGGTACAAAAAGGGGTTGGTTAGTTTTTCCAAACTCAGCAGCGATTATGGCAATACATACAACTCTGTACAATTTCACTTATTGGGTTATTTGGTGGTTTCTAGATGATTTTTGGTCTTTCTATACTTGCAAATCTATTGGAAGGATACATTTGCAGAACAAAAATCGTCAATGTAAATTATATATGTAGGGATTGTTCTAAAAAGTTGTGTAAATTGATTGTTATTAGATAAAAAATGATAACTTATAACTATACTATAAATATACTACAATTTTTGTATAAGATATTTGCTATAACTATATGAAAATAAAACAAAATTAACAGAGGTCTACAAGTAGTTGCCTATATATGAAACGGTCTTGAACTGGTATTGAAAATAGAAGTGGCATTGCCAAATTATTATGAAACCTCAATTATCCCTCTTTTTATATTCATATTTCAGAAAACGTTCAATAATTTTGTATATTTACAGTCAATGTCAAACAGGTAGTGAAACAAAGGTGAAAATTTGAAACAAAAAAGATAAATTATAACGAGGATAATTAATATATACAAAAACTATAAGGAAACTACAAATTCGAAAACTTAACAAGAGGTCAAAGGATCGTCTTGTTTGAGCAGTTGACGTGGTGGTTTTTTTATAGTTATTTTCAGTAAAAAAGTTTTGTGAATTGTATGACCGCTTGTTGAGATTCTGGGAAGTCTTTGTCAGCAACAAAAAAAAAACATATAGTTGTGAAAAGAAAAACCCAGCACAAAATTATACCAGTTGAAATTAAAAAAAAAAGATTTTAATAGCAAAGTAACAAAGAGATTAATTGAAGCTAACTAAAATAGAACAAACAAAACGACAATTATGAAAACGAAGTGTCCATAGAAATTTGCTGTCAAAAATTGCTTTATGAAACATACCAAATATATCATTTACATAGTCATCTAGAGATTGTCTTCACTGCCAAATGCTTGATTTCTTTAATGGACAGAGATTTTTTCTCTATTTTTGCCGTTAGGTTTTTATTTTTTGTTTCAGCTGTTTTTTGCATTGCTGCTATACTTCGTGTATAATTAACTTTTTTTGTGTTTTTCTTTGCCTGTTTTTTATCAGTTCTGATGACCGAGTATGGAAATTTAATTATTGTTTCAGCAATTTTAGACAAATTGGTCTCACAACTAAAATAGGTCAGGTTAAACAACTACAAAAAAGGCAAAAACAGCGTTAGCTGCCGTTCTGTAAATTGGGCAGGTGATTTTCATTAAACTCGTATGAAAAAAAAAAGATAATAAAATAAATCATAAAACAGACGAGTATTGGCTACGATAAACGATGCCTGGAGGATAATAACAGTAACACGCGTTTTTTCTATTAATGCCTTTTCTGATGCTGTAGACAGCAGCAACGAAATTTAACCTTCTTTTCGTTCCTGCTGAGGTTTTACTTGCGTACCCTGTTTGACCTAGCTGTCAGCTATGCAATCTGCAAGACGCGCTCGTATGTTTGACTACATAATCTCATGTTTGCGTACCGTCTCTACCTCTAAAGGAAAACATGTACATATTTAATTACTCGTCACGTTTTGTTCATTTAATTAAATCACTTTATAATGTTCAGTTTAAAGGGAAATCTTGCCCGTGACGTAAACAACTTAATGTTTAAAATGAGTGTGAAAGTGAAATTGGGGTTCAAGGTTTAAATTCTTGGGCTACAACAAAGATTAATGGTTTCGTCACTACATTTTTCACTTGTGATCGGATTACCTCTAGGTGATGAAATCGTAGCGGAACTCTCAAATTGTTATGTTGATATATTCAAATGTAGTCGATGGAACGTTTAGATTTTCATTAAGATGCATGAATCGTGGATTTGTAAACTGTGATAAAAGAAAGCATGAGAAAATTGTGAAGAAAATAGAGGATTATCAAATTTGTGAAATCTTAAAGAGGAGCGAATAAAGGAAGTCGATGGGACGGGGGACCTACTTTTATCCCAACGTTGCGATTAGCTGGATAATTAGCATTAGCGACGAACAACAGAGAAGACAGACGGCTTGAAACCGAAATGTCCATAAATTTGTGTACGCTGTTAAATGTGTCTATAATATTTACACAGAAACTAATCTTAAAAGAATAAAACTGTATCGCTGAATCGACAGATGGTTACTTTCCACGTTTTTTGTTTTGTATATTCAAGACGTAGTTTCCACACGTAAAGGTATGTTTCCATTAGGACACTCGTTTTGTTTTGTTTAAGTTTTATAAAACAAATACCCAGAAATGTATGATTAATAATTTCAAAAAACAAGATCGTGTAATTATAGTCGTCGCACGTAAGAAATATCAATACGTCAGTAATAAAGTCACATTTGAAAGTTAAGCGCTAACGATTCTTTCAGACTTTTTAGGAGATTGCGTAGTGGCATAGTGTTAATTTTGGGACAATATTTTAGAAATTTTGTGTTAGTGTGACTAACATGCATATGCGTACGAAGAAAGAAGTTCTCGTGTCATGTCAAGGACATGGTAGGCAATTAATTAAGACAAGTCCTTATGTGATGCCAGGACATCGACGGGTGATGAAAATGGTTAATCAGAATAATGATATTCCCGTTGTTGGATCTGTTACACTGGAATAACTGACTTCATAAAGGGATGTCGCAGCTGTTACCCATGGTTTGTAAGCAGAGTTACATGGTTCCGGTTTCCTGAGTCTAGCTTAACTGAAACCTGGAGCGGAAGCCGGAGAGTAGGGCACTGGTGCTAGGGTCTGCCACGAAGGCGTCGAAATCCGCCTTTAGGTGCCGCTAATTGTTAATAAATTGAGAAAGTGTTACTAGTACTGATTTACCAAAGCTTTATTTTTTTGGCTACAATTTTTACCAGCAAATCTGTATTACACCGAACGATTTCCATATCCCGTTAGTTTTATCCCTGAAATCGCAACGGAAACTACAAATCGTGTTGATATTATTCAAATAGCTTTGAACCAGGGGTAAGCTTCCGGTTAAAATTAAGAAAAGCTTCACGTTTCGTTAGCAAATTGCGAATTCATGAGCCGTATCATTTATAAAATGTTCCAATCCAAACCAGAAGCCGGTTTATGTCAGTTTTGCGAATAATATATTTTTATGCCTGTTTTTTCGAGGATCGATTATTCACACTTTGCACCTCTGAGTTCAGAATGGAATTTTTGACGGCCACCAAAAACAAATTTGTTTATCATTTTTAAATGCCGGGAATTATGACGGCGATAGGGTGGGAATCGTAACTGGAATTTCCAGTTTAAAACCGGAAAAACCACCGTATAAGGATCCTCAATTGTTCACATTTTTTTTAATCCGAGTTATAAAAATTAATATATGCGTGGTACGTGTTTTCAAGGATAATTGTCCAATATTTAATTAAATTAAACCCAGCTGCTTTTGTGTGCAAAGTATATACAACAAGTGCACTTGAGTAAATTTTAATTTAATAATGTCTTCCGATGACGTCATTCCTTTTCTGAACGAGATGAAGTGTTTAAGAAGTCGGTGTGGATGTTACAACTTTTTTTGATACAGCTGTGTATACAAATTTGAAAGTAAATTATTATAGTCAAAATCTTAAAATAATCAAAATTTTTCTGCTCATCGCGAACACAAATTTAATGACGCCGTTTAAAAATTTTGCAACTCTTATATTCCCCAAGGATCAGTGGTGGGTCCGCTGTTGTATCTTTGTATACTTTTGATCTGCCTAATAAAGTTAAACGTGCTTCATTTTATTCTTAATTTCTTGAATAATGATCTAAACTCTACTGTCCATCCAGTTTACTTTTAACCATATGTAAATTTTAACAAAAACTTGTACAAGTTTCTAGTGTAATTAACAATTTGGGGATTCTATGCAAAATTACAATAATTTGTATTTAATTACTTAATGCTTATTATGTCATTTATTTCTGTTTCTTTTCTTTTTATTTCCCGAGGGTAAGCTAAAGAGGACGTCACGCGTCGCCGTCTGTGTTGATTTTTATTAGACACGATCTCCGAAACTACTGGAGCGATTGTTGTCGACTTTTCTGTGGGTGTTAGGAATAACGTGTGGATGGTAAAATGTGTAGTAAATGTTATTTATATTTTATATATTTTTATTTCCCTAGCGTAAGCTAAGGAAGTCTAGTAAGATGAATTTTCAACAAACCCTTGTTAGTTCATTTGGTTTATTATTGTTATGGGTCCATTTGTCAACAGCTTATTATTTTGATTTATACCCCTATAATTTTTTATGATAGCCCCTTAATATTAATATACAAAAAAAATAATAATAACAAAATACGATTTGTTAAAAATTATGCATTAAAGTTGTTTAAATAATTTTAGAAAAAAAAATGTGATTTAATGACCCTTTGTAAAAATATATGTTGCTTTTGATATTACTGTCACGTATTATTCAACGTGTCATTAAATATGGCTTTTACGGCACTCCGATATATCAACTAATAAAGGAGTTACGGCCTGAGAAATCTGGAACACCCGGTGTACACTTTTTTTTTTCTTGGCGTAATTCTTGCATACTTGGTATCTATACCCCATCAATGTTCCCCAGAGCCGGCTCAGTCCCTTAAAATGTTTATAAATCAGCGCGCTTTTATCGCAGTGCGTTGCCAGGAGGAGAGGGAGAGTGAATTATAATCCGGTCCTGTGGCTGATAGACCGGCGTGGTGCAACACTGGGGGAGTTGCGACGCCTGCAGTATTCACGTGTCTCCGCCGCCGAGCTCACTCCTGCCTTCGTCCTGCCAGCACCCGAACGCGCGCGACTGCAACTTCCAAGCTTTCAAACTCCAACAAGTGCGTGTGCACCAATAAACGGTATGTGGATTTTTATGTCACACACACATACACACCTTCACGGGGAACCCCAAATTTCAAAACTCCCGCAAATCTAAATTTTTTTTAACTTAGCGCAAAACGTGTGCGACAGATAAACGCGCAATCAAAAGCTTTATTGGCACTTTAATCTTACGGACTCGCGAAACACATGTGATTCCCCTTTCGACTTTATTACTTTTGTATTTTACTATTTTTACTGCTCTGGCGGGTTGATGACCACGAATTGCGTTTTATGCGAAGCCGTGACTTTGTGATTTTTTTTATTTAATTCGATTTTGCTGATAAAGCAGGGATGAAATGTTATCATTGTTATAGCTTTTATGGACGCAGGGTTGATCAGGATAAGGTTAACTTTTCGCATCAAACTTTTCTTAGATACATTTTTTTTTCGGATATTTGCATTTACTGGAGCAAGGAAAAGTCAATATTTTATTGTTTTTCTTTGAAATAGTAAGAGTTTGCGACAAAGTGTACCTGTCTCTGATGATTGCAAAAATATTCGAATAGCGCGAATCGCTTAAAGTGAGATATTTTTTTCGTAACGGGAAATAACCGGATTTTTCAAGCCAAATAGTTTCGGGTTATTTCCTGCTGTGATCACACTCTTTTATTGAAAAAACGATAGATTTTACATATACGAAACGCAAGCTTACTACACAGTGTGCACGAATTTTTAATTTTGAAAAAATATTAGTTAATAGCGCTATTTATTTCTGGTTAGCAACAATGTTAAAACATTGTTAAAATCTAAATATATATTATAATATGATACAGTTTTTTAATACACAGGTGTCCCAGAAAAACTACGCGCTTTATGGATAGAAATATTGAAATTTTGTAAACGCCATTGTGTTTAAGGGGAAGTTTAATTTAGTACATGCAAATATGCGGCGTATAATTTTTTAAAGGATTTTGAATACACCAAAGTATTTTATATCACTTTAACAGTAATTTAATCATTTGTAATTAAAAGAAAAAAAACGTGAGGTGTCGTGGGACACCCGTATAGAACGAAGTACCTTATGCTTGTATACAATTTATGAAATAATACAATAAATTAAATGAAGGAATGATAATCAAATTGTAGTCATACTTTTTTTATTTAGTATGTCTCTCACTACATTTTTTACTAATTTTTGTAGTTGTATTTAGAAACAGAAAATAGAAAGTGTTCAGGAGTAATAGCAATTACATATGTCGATGTCAGGCTGTTACGGACGGCAACTTGGATGTACTAAATTAAGCTTCTCTTTTCAAGCTAAAAGCAATGGTGTTTACAGAGTTTTAATATGTCTATTCGTTCTCAAAATATAAGGCCGCGGAGTTTTATCTGGGACACCTGTATATTAAGAAACGTAATTCTAATTAAGAATGCTTGGAATAATTTATGATCGATTCCTGGATTCTTCTAGATTTTAGAAATGTAATTTTTATAGTTTGTTTCCAAAAATATTCGCAATTTTCAGTAACTTTGTCAAATTTTGAATTTTATTGTTTGGAAGGTAACGAAGATGTCAATTATTATAGACATTGATTGATTAATTTTAAATGACTGTTGAATTTTACGTAAATGTTGTCTTTTATAGCTTCCAAACATTGTATGACGTCATCGCAAACTTTTGTTAAGTAAACCTAGTTTAAACGTGCCTAACTGCCTAGTAACATATTTCTTTATCTCTCTTTTGTTCCTCCCAGAATTTTTTTGTGTTCCAAAAAAAGGCGAACTGGAGTAGACGATGGAAATACTTCGTAGTCTAACTAATTTCAAATTTTCAAAAAATTTTCCTTAACTTTTCTTTATCCAAATTATCGAGTCATGGCTACATTTCTCAACATTGGGTTTTGGAAAATCATTTATGCCTAATTTTTGTACGGAATTTAATTGTCCATCTGGAAAACTATGTTTTTGTCAACGAAACGATGGCAGCATCTTCATGCGGATTTCTGCTTTAAATATTATATGGATTATGTCATGCGATCCTCATTTATAAAAAATGCGTCGTATTTCATAGATAATGATTACGTTCTCCTTAACCACCGAAAACGACAACGGTGAGCTCTAGAATTGCATGGAATTTTAGATCGACCTTCGCCGAGATCCAGATCTTATATATTGGGTATAATAATCCTAATTTCGTTCCATCCCCTGTTCCGATAAGACTTAATTTTTTGGCAATAAAAGTGAAAAATGGCGGTGTATTACACTAATCTGGCACACCGCTTAAACACTCCAGACAATTGTTTTGCGATATTATATTTTTTTGAAGTTGTAATTCATGTATGCGCCACCTTCCCACCACATTTGAATATAAATATTGCAGAGGGATGACGTTGTATCCCGAATAAGGGATTCTCTGTAGAAGACCGAGACTTTTTAAGAGTGCTTTATTCAACCCGTCCAGGAGGCAATGCTTTATTCATTACAATTTTTATTTAGAGGAGAGCGTACGACCGGACTCTGAATCTAGCTTAGGGAACACGTATTTCTAGCAGTGAAAAAATATGTAAAATTATTTAGGCATTTCTAATTTGGTTGCGTTTGCAAGGCGAAGAAAGTTCGGCGTAAATACTTACAACAAATTACAAATTTTTTATATTTTACAGAAATGATTTTGGATAAAAGAAACACCGTTACGACTGTTTCTTCGGGAAAAGAATCGCCGCCATAAAAAGAGATAGCGCATATATTTCTTTGTACTTGAATCTGGTTGATTCTATTTCAGGTATATCCACATTTACCTATTCAATAGAGAACCGAAAGGCGAAAGACGTTTTAAAATAAATACATGTCTCACCACCCTTTCGGTGTTGACGATCTTATTAAGGCAGCGAACATTCGATAGATGCCGTAAAACTGGGAACTTTATTAGTAAATTAAGAATCAATCACAAAGTGACAATCAGGCTTTAGTTCGATCGTACATCTATAACGTTTTTTTAAGTTTAGTCCATCACAGTAATGAATCACTTTATTAGCAATCTATTGATAGTTTTTCCACGTCATATGCATATATAATTTTGTACTTAACAGAGCAAACATGCATTTTCGTGTTCCATGAGCTACTAAATGCCGAGAAAATATGAACTTAGACATTCGTCAAAATAAATCTATTAAATACTTCATTTGGCTGTTTCTTGAGTGGTAAAATTCGATTTTTATTGTTCAGTTTTCTATTCCACTTGATTTATTGCTGGAAAATTAAAAACAAAGAGAGCGGAAAAAATTTCAAGCTTTTTTAGCTTTGTCGAGATATATGAGTGAAGACTATGTTGTAATCATGTTCAGTTGGCAGGGAAAACGGTTTCAAGTTAAATCACGTTAAGAGAGAATGTTGAAACGTAGCTCTAATTGCAAAAGTGGGAAATTTTAAAAGGTGGTGGTTTTTTGCGCATATATGGAGTAAACATGTTGCAGGGAGTTTCGCAGTGGTTGAACAATTAGGATAAATCCCTTATTATCGTTATCTGCAGTCGGTATCATAGATTTTATGTACTCCAATTATTTCATAATTGTCTAGTTTAGCCAGAGTTGTAACGAGCTCAATTAATTGTAAGATCAACCCAATTTCTTCTATGGCTGGTTGTGCATTCAATCCAGGCCTTTACTGTTATTACTGTTAGATCGTCTGATAAACAAAGCATCTGTGCTGTTTCTACGAAGAACATAATCTCACTTTTATTACGTTTAATGCTTCAACGTAAAACCTAAACTTAAACTAAAAAAGCATAGCGCAATTTTATTTATTTACATAATGCTTTTTACTTCCAAACTTAAGCTACTTCGGTCTGTCTGTCTGTCGCTTGCCGCGTGTGTCGAATTTTATTACACCAATTGTTCTCAAATTTTAGATGTGTGTTAGGAATATAATATAATATAATCCACCAACAATGCGATCGAAAAGAGTCACCATTGTATAAAATTTTACAATTTAACTTTGAAACTCCCTCGACGAAATATTAAAACGAAATAATCACCAATTTGATTAGCGTTTTTAGGTCCTTTACTTTATTTTCTTTTCTTTCAACTTTTTACAACTTGTCTTTCCAAAATGAACCATGTCCAATGGGCGAAGATGATTGGGGAGGTATCGTATTAGTGAACGCCCGACCTGGATCAGAGTTGAGGTTCTCGGTGCTGACGTACTGTGATTAACATGATCGGACTGTTTCCTAATTTGGACAATTATTGATTCATTTAAAAGTAAAAATCATTATAATTATTCAACAGATATTAGAATTTTGGGTGCTATTTCGGGAATTGGGTTAAGTAGTGCGTTTCATTGATTTCTGAATTTGTATATTAACAGATCCGTTGATTAACAATATCATTCGCCCTATTTGCTTTTAATTAGTCGTTTTTTCGAATGAGTTTCCCACAGTTCTAATATGTTTCCGTGAAATGTGGGGCGCGTCGAGCACTGCGGTGCGGGCTAATAAAATGTGAGCCTGAAATTCTGTATCTTGCTCATTTCATTAAAGATACGGCACTGAAACAATTGAGTTACTTTTATAGCTCCATTCTACACCAAATATTCAAAATATACTATCTTAATAAAAATTAATTAACTTTACTTTTGTTGAGAAAGGTGGCGGGTTTTGCGGATCCGGCATTGCACTTTAGACAATCGTTATATTAAGGACCGTCATTATTACTTAATTAATGATATCATCCCCAAAGTTGAAACAATGTAATTTTGGGTAATGTAGAGCAACAAGGGCGCTCCGTTCAGCTGTGTTTATAAAGTCGGGATTTTAGGACTTACTCCTTAGCAAAAATGAAACGTTTGTAAAACTCAAATACGCGCCTTTTGTGTGTTTGCTTTGAAATATTTAAACAGGCCCTTTACAAGAGAAAGTATCTTGTTGGCGATTTTTTTTTCAGTACTTGGGTCGGTAAACAAACGCGAATTAATCTGTTTAAAAGGGCCATTCACACTTAAAACGTAATAACAAGAAGTTAAGAGAAAATAATGGTGTGTT